GAACCTCTGTGGCTGCAACACTGGAGAGCCCCCACAACCACCACAAGCCCCACACACGTCAGCCCTGAAAGGGGAAGGGGTGACAGCACCAGGGCCTGGCTGTGCCTCCATCTAAGTTCCCCAGAAGGGTTGCCAGCAGGCCCCAGGGAACTTCCAGCTTCCCTGCCCATTCTGGAAATGTTTCCTGGACTCCCCTTTCCATTGTGGTGGCCGGGCAGCGAGTGGCAGCTCCTCAGCATTCCTTGGTGCCCCGGTCACACAGGGCACTGCCACCCTGTCCCCACAGTCACACTGTGCCCCCTCTGTCGTGGTGCCTGAGAGGACACACCACAGCAGCCACTTCCCTGGTCTCCCAGGCTGGTGGCCACGCGTGGCCATCGCCAGGTCACAGCTGCTCCTGGGGAAATTGGGAACCAACCGCATGCTCTGGATTCCCCAACCCGATGTCACTCCCCAGCCTGATGTCACTTCCCATAACTGACTCGCTTAGGAGCACAAAAGGTCCCAGGGGGAGTCTCGAGGGCAGAGGGAGGTGGCAGTGGCGGAGAGGGGATTTCTGGGCCCGACTCCCCTGGGCCCGGCCTGGGAAGTCCCCACAGCCCCAGGCACTGGCTGTGCAGGGTCCCCTGTGGCCCCGGGCTGTGAGTGCCCCTTGCTCCTGGCCCTGGGTGGCAGCAGGACCTGTTGCTCCCAGGCAGCAGGAGCTGCTCCAAGGGGAGCCCCTACGAGAGCCCCTGGTGCTGGTGCTCGCACTGCAGGGCAGAGCAGCGTCGGTGCTGCTGCTCAGATGGCCCTGGGGCTGGGGGTGCAGCACAGGGACCCTGACCCCTGAGCAGTCTTAGGTGCAGTCCCCATCTGATCTCAACCCCGACCCTGCTCCCGATCTGATCCCAATCCCGGTCTGATCCCAATCCCGGTCTATCCTGGTCCTAGTCCCGATCTGATCTCAGTCCCGGTCTGATTCTGGTCCCAGTCCATGTCTGCTCCCAGTCCCACTCCCGGTCTGATCCCAGTCCCGGTCTGATCCCAATCCCGGTCTATCCCGGTCGCGGTCTCGTCGCCTCCCCCGCGCGAGGTCCAGTAGCGCCACCCAGCGGCCGCACCCTCCCGTCCTCCTCGGGACTACAACTCCCGGCGTGCCTTGCGGCGCGGCCCGCGGTGCATGCCAGGATCCAACCCCTTGCCTCGGTAGACATGGCGGGCGGCCCGCCGCCGCGCCGTGCCGTAAAGCGTCGCGCGTCGCCATAGCGATCGCGCTCTCTCCTCACTCGCTTTGCGACGGCGCCGTGCGGCAGCGGCGGGTGGCGCCTTTGTCCTGGCGGCAGCGGCGGCCTGAGGGGGCTCCGGGACCGGGCCGGCAGCGGCGGTGAGTCTGCGGGGCCGCGGCCGCGCTGCGCCGACCGCCCGGCCGAGCGGCGCGCGGCAGCGAGCCCCAGGGGCGGCCCGGTCCCTCCCGGCCGCCGGCTGGGGCCGGGCCGGGCGCGCCCCGCGGCCTGCGGGCGGGCCGCGCCTCCGCCGCGCGTCCGGGCGGTGCGGAACCGCCGGGGCTCGGGGCGGGCCGTGAGCGGCGCTGGCAGCGCCCGGGCCCTGGCGGCCGTGCGGGGGCCGCGGGGAGAGCGGCCCGTGGGAGCGGCGGCCCGTCCCCGCCGCCCCGGGGCCCGCGGCGTCGGGGCGGGAGGAAGGAAGGCGGAGGCGCTCCCCGGGTTACCGTGTGCGGAGGCCGGGGCGGGCGGGCGGGTCGGCCCCGAGGGGAGTCCCCCGCTCCTCGGCACCGCTGCCTTCTGCCCTCGGTGCCAGCTGTCCCTGCCGGGCCCGCGGACTTCTCGCGGAGTTGTGTCGTGTTTCGCTTGTGGCAAATTAGCTCCAATGCACCACTCCGGCAGAGTCTTGCTTCCCGAAGCTGTAGCGCTACTAATAAACAACTTTGGGTTTAAGTATAAGGTTTTTAGAGATGTGGCTTTAATTAACTTCCAGAGGATTTGTTGGCGCAGAGGATTTGTTGCCGTGGGCTGTCCTGTCATAGTTACTCCGCGGGGAATTGGCACCTTTAAGCTACCCTGGTGCCTCTCTGGCTGCATCCATACAGAAAGATTTAATGTAGGAATTAGTTGTTCACCTGGTGTAGCGTGGCTAGAGCTGGGACAACAACATTCGTTTATTCTGGTCTTATGATCACTAAATGACCCTTAGCTATGTGATCAACTGCGTGGGAAATGGTCAGAGCCGGGAAATGCTCTTAGATGGAAGTTCTGGAGTAACTCAACTCGTCTGAGTGTTGGGATTGAAGTGGGAAAAAGGCTCCCTGTTTTTCTTCACGTGGAAAGCTCTTGCACCTTGTTCCTCAGCCACCCCCACATCCCCACCCTTGAGGAAAAGAAAAGGGAGTTTCTTACAGCTTTTTATGTTGCAAGTGAGATGTCCCAGCAGCAGCTGGGGGCCTGTTTGACACCTGTTTGCTGTGTGTGTCTGTGGCATCCCCGAGACCACCCGCACAGATGTGGCCCCGGCAGGTGTTTGCAGGGGCTCTGTGTCCCCATCCTTGTCCCTGATGGTGCTCAGAGCTGGAGAAGGAATCCTGCTCCTCATGGGAACTTGGGCCAGATGGGTCCTTCCATGTTTTATTGCCACTTTGTCATTTTGAGGGAATTTTGAAAACTTCTTTCCCCTCAGCTAATGAGAACTTGAGCTGCAGTAGTGGAATAGAAATCCAGTGCTTCCATGCAGAAAAACGTGATGAGATTTGGCCCTTCTGATGGGGAAGGTAAAATTCTATATATACGTGTGTGCGTGGACAAACTTACAGGACGATTGGGGCAAAAGTGATGGAAAGAATGAATTTTGTTGAATTTTGGTTTCGGTGTTGGGTTTTTTCCTCCTCACTGTTCTGACAGTTCATTTTAAGAAGTTTATTAGGCAGGGAGCCATTCTCTGCCTCCCATTTCTGCAGAGTTTCCCAAAAAATGGGAAGAGTGATACAAATGTGAAATTGATTGATCTCTAAAGAATAAATAAATAAATTTTATGTCTCAAATCTGGAGTAGATGTATTTTTCATGCCAGTTAAGTGTTGTAAAAGTATTTATATGAAGCTGGGTTTATGTTTTTGGACATTTGACTTGTTTTATTTAGAGATAACTTTTAAATTGTATCCTCTAGGTTGCTGCTAGGGATTGTGGTGGTTGTAGGCACCACATGATTAACAGGAGAAGTTTTTGTTGATACACTCAATGTCATCAGCTTTCTCTTTCCAGGCTTCTTGCATGCTGCAAGCAGAAAATCCCATCCTGCATTCCTCTAGGTGAATGTTTAGGAAGTAGGACAACTTTATTAAATAGTTTTCAAACTTTCGAGTTCATCTTGAAAGTTCCAGGGTTATCTGTTTCTTTAAGCTTTATCTGGTGGTGAATTTTAAACCAGAAAGTCTGAATTGTGGGGGTGGCGTTTCTTATTAGCTCGGTAGTGTTTGTTATGTTATTTTTTGTTTGTTGGGGTTTTTTTTGTTTTGTAATTGTTCGAGTGAGTTTGTGCAGTGAATGTTGCTGACTGCTCCAGCTGTGTGCAGGGGTGTGGGCTAAGGGAATGTGCTTTTGCTGCATGGGGGAGGTGAGGAAGGGTGCAGCATTTACCTGGGGGTGGTTGAATTCCCAGCTGTGGACCCGCCTGCTGTGGGAGCTGACATCTCCATGGGGACAGGGATTTGCTGTCTAACGGGTATGGGTGAGAAGCTTTGCTTTCTGGAGTTGGAAAGCTGAGATATCACACTTAGTGAAGTGATCCAGGTGTGATCGCTCAGGAGCGTTTCAGCAGTACTTCCTGATGCCTCATTCCAGGCCTTATTGGAATATTTGGGTGCTGTTATGCAATGTTGCAATGAATGTTTCCTTTCCGCTTATTAAAACATTGCATAAATTTTCAGTGGATTGAAGAACTAGATGTGACAACAATGGGTGTATTGAAAAGCTTAAAGTTAAGGCTTTTTAGTGGAAAATTAGTGCTATTTGTATCTTAGGTTGGAGTTAAACCATTAAAACCTATCTGCAAAATAATTAGGTTTGCTACCTTTCGGTATTACAGAAAAGCTCAACCAAAATGCTGCAGTGAACGTTTTTGCCTGACCTCTGTGTCCCTCATATTAAGATTTCTCTGGAGTGAAGTTTGCGTCAAGCAGACCCAGTTGGCTTCTAGTCTGCAAAGCTGTTAAGTTTAATCTTGTTCCAGTTTAATTTTAATGTCATGGATTGAAATTATATGCATGGCCATTTTTCTTTTTTGCGAAGAGTTGGATTTGGAACGAAAGCAAAATGGCTCGAGGACGCAAGAGCAATAGCATCAAACAGAGCGACTTCACTAACAGCACCAATCCTCAGGATTTAGAGAGAAGACTTTTTGTCGGCAATTTGCCCACAGACCACATGACTCGTGAAGAAATGGAAGAGATATTTTCAAAATATGGCAAAATCAGGGGTTAGTATATTATCTTATGGCTTTTCGTGGCAGGGATTTCAGTGAGAAATATCGCTTCATGCTTGTCAAATGCTATTTGATGGTGATGAGAGGAGTGACTAATGTTGTTCCTAAAAAGTGACCTTTTAATGATAATTTTCTCTGGAAAAGTGATTCCTTCAGTACAGCTCAAACGTAATGCAAATATATCAGCTGTGTTTTAGCTCTTGGGGTCACGGTGTGATGCTACAATGCTCTTTCAAGTGACTTCTTAGCCTCTCAAGTCAAATCTTGGTCACTTCATGGGCTGTATTTTGGTCACTGCCTTATCAGAAGGGAGTTGATCAGAGCCTTTGAGCTCTGCATTTTGGTCCTGGTGGATTTGATTTTTCCCAGGAAGTGGGTAGAGCCCCTGTGGGAGTTCAGCTGGTGGGGTTAGGTGTGGGTCGGCACTGTGGCGCGGTTGTAACTGGTCTTGCCCTGCTGTTAACTCTTGCAGCCCTCAGCATGTACCATGGCTATGGGTTCGTGCAGTATGACCGTCTAGAAGATGTCCAGGCCGCTCTGGACGGTGAGAAGGGTCGCCTTTATAAAGGGTATAGATTAGGTAAGGAAAACTGCTCCGCGCTCTCCTGACCCCAGCATGCGTTCGGGAGAAAGAAAGAGTGCTCTGGTTTTAAAGCTCCTTGAAACTTGCCCGGCCTTGGTCTCAAATCACTTTTGCTCAGTGTGGATTTACCTCCTGAGTTCCCACTCTGTGCTCCACCTGCAGTGTGGCTCACCTTGCTGCCCGGGTCTTACTCTGAATTTTTACATGTTAGCGTTTGGGAAGCTCTCTTACCCTGTGTAAGAAACTGTGCAACAAGTAAGCCCTGGAGAGCGATCCTTGAAACCGCCAGCACGGTTTAATAACATTTGTAAACCAAAACTGGGCTTCGTCTTGACATGCTCAGAGAAATTGGTCACAGCACTTAGCGGCTGGTTGGATAAGTAACCTTAACTCAGATTTTTGCCCGTGTGGAACCAGCTCGTTAAGCAGTGCTATAAATACTGAGTACTTTAAAAAGGACATTTTCATAAAGATGAAGATAATTCTGCTAAATGTGCTGGGAGCAGACTTAAATGGAAATGAATGGTTAGAAATCCACGAGTAATCTTCTAAATGGAAGGAAAAAAATTACTTTGAAGTAAGCCTGTGCTAATTTGAAGAAAAACAGTTTGACTTAGAAAAGAATGAAAGGAGCAATAAATAGTATCCTGTGGGAAGGTGTGTGTACAATAAAAAATAGGAGCCTGGAGATGGAAATGGAGGCAAATAGATGAGGAGGGTAGAAGGATACAAGAAGAATTGATGTCCAGCATTGTCCAAGTGTAGTGGCTGTTTTAGAAACTAGGAGGTAACTGACTGGAAATGATAAAATTTCTTACTGGAGAGAACCAGTTAATGTTTCTGCTCTCTGTTTTTGAAGAGGCAGAAGGTGTGTTTAATATAATTTCCATTTCAGTAGCAAAACAAAAAAGGTAAAACAGCAGATACCAAAACTAGACCTCTCAGAAGAATTAACATTTGTGAGGCTCAGTGAAATGCAGAGCTGCCTAGGCTGTTACTGGTGTTTTTCCACAAGCCTGGGAGAACTAGGGAGTTTCCAAGGAGCTAGGAGAGTGCTGCAGGTGAGCCAATAGGCAGCGTAAATGGGATGAGCCTGGCATCAGCGCCTGGAAACAGAGGGATTCTTTCACCTGACACTAGTGAGAAGGGAACTGATTAGTGCCAATCAAAATAAATCCTGTCGAACTTACTCTTATGGTGCTGGAAGTAGCAGATGTACAGATTGCTGTAAGGGGTTTGATTTGATAAGAAACTGGAACAGTTAAAACCAACAGAGTTAAATGGGTCTCACATGAATGTCAGTGTAACACAGATGGAATATCTCAGTGCTTTGAATCATGGTCTGGAAAAACTGATTCCTGGCCATACAGTGCTTTTATAGGTGACTTGGAGAGAAAATATAATGTTTTACAAAGAGAATGAGATAATGAGGATTGAGTCACTGATGGTGAAAGGAACTGGACTTCTTAAGCTGGATTCAGACAGGCCTGAGCTTTCAGTGAACCTGGAAGGGAGGGTCTGTGCCCGGCCAGTGCTTTGAACATCCTTGGCCCTACAGAACACAGGTGTGCGAGCAGGGAGGCTTTGGTACCTGTGGGGTTTTGCTGCTGGAATATCGTGTTCAGTTCTGCTTTGCCTGGTTCAAAAAAGGATAATGCTAAATTGGAGAAGCCCTGGTAAAACCTGAGAGAGAGGTTTAGAGTTAAAGAACAAAACTAGCAAAAGCCTCAAGAGGGAAAGGAGTGATGTGATCTGTGTGTTACAGGCAGACCTGGAGATCAGGGAGTTTTAATCTGGTAGGCATAGGTGTGACAATTCCTTAAATGGGAATAAATAGTTTTCTTTAACAGCAGAGTAATTGGCTTCTGGAGTAACTTATTGGAGCTGTGGTGGTTTCTGTGCTCTGAAGACTTTTAAATTGGAATTGCATGTTTTGCTAAAAGATAAGCCCTAGTTCAGTGCCACTGCTGCACTTGGGAGAGGAATGTGATTCCAGAAACTCCTGTCACCTGTGTTTGTTCAGAAGGTTACACTGTGTGATTACAGTGGCCTTGTCATCTCAAAATCCTACAGGATAGAAGACTTTTTGTTTGGGGTTTTTTTCCTGAAGTTTTGTCAGTGTTCAAATACTTGACTTGTAAATGCTATTCGCATTAAATAAAGTGTTATTAAATCTGTTCATTTTGCACAAGAGATGGATCCCTGTCAAAGGTGGTTTTTTTTCTTCTAGTTAAGTATTTTTGTGCAGAATTAAATTCTTTTTTTTATTTGAAATAAATGTATTGGGTGTAAAAATCATAATAGGTTTCTGCAATGGCATCTTAAAAGAGAAAATAAAAATAATCTTAAACCAAAGAAAGCAGCTAGTGTCTTACTTAAAGGTAACACTTGACTTTAAGGGGAAAAAAATTACCAACTAAATAATAAATGCAAGGAGAACGGTTACTTCAGCTATGCAGACTGAGTATTAAATATAATTGCTAATAACTCAACAAGGTAAAAGGTTTGGGGAGAGTTTAACTCCAGTGTAGCATCATACAGGTATTTCCACAAATGCACAGAAGTATTTTCCTGTCTTTAGTGACTAAAACTGTGTAGAGAGTAAATGTCCTCCACGTGTAGTTTGTGACAGTAGAAGCTGCAGCTGTGTTTGTTCCTGGAGAGATGCTTTGGGGTCCTGTGAATGTTGTTATGCTGCAGTTGTAGTTAATGTTCAGATTGTTCTCGCTTTTCTCCCCCCACAGAAAGGGAACATGCTGCTGCTTCATTGACAACAAGAGCAAAAATTAGACCTGATCCCTTAATTCCAATTTTAGTCTTGGAAATAATAAAGGATAGTTTGGGAAGTTACAGAATATATTATGACTGAGTCTGCCTAAAGACACTGTCGCATGTTTATTCTCTTGCAAGGGCTTTGAAAGTAGTTAATGCAAATAACTCATCAGAAATGTTAATTGTTGATAGATTCTGAGGGAGCAGATAGGGCCTAGGTTTGGTTTGTTCTTTTCCTTAAAAGGCTCTCAGTAAAATGTCCAAAGTCACTTCTATTTGCTCTTGCCCCACTCCAGTGCATTCTTTCATCTCCAGTCAGCTGTCATGGGAGACTTTGTTTCTTAACAGTAGAACAGTGTGGGTCCCTGCCAGTTCTGGGCAACTTCACTTTTGCTGGTTGAGAACAAGACTCTGTTTCTTCAGCTCTCTTACTTCTTTGTGTTTCACTTCATGGAGTTTTTCATGGAGATGTTCAGAAGCCAACCAGTTTTCAAATTTCCCGTCTGTTGCCTCAGTTTGCATCCTGTTAACAGTGGTGTTTTGAGTGCACCATGTTGACTTCATAAGGAGCTTGTGCTCCAGGCTCCCGGATCCCATTTCTTGGTGGTGGGGGCTGTGCACCTTAATTGCAGCAGTCCCTCGGAAGGCAGTTGCAAGTGCCACTTGAGAACCCTTGGATTATTTCTGACAAGGGTAGCGGCATGCTCCGTTGAACAGGACTGGCTGTGAACTTAAGACTGTGCTGGCCATCATACCTTTCTTGGAGGTTTTCAGACTCTGCTTTTTCTCCTAGAGTCCATGAGTCGCTTTCTGCTCGCTCATAGACTGCAGAAGAAAGAGGTTCTCTTATGGAATGAAGAGTCTGGATGTAGGCCTGAACATGCAGGGTTAAAACTTCACCCAAAGCTGTCCACCCTATTTTGAAGTCAGAGAAATCCATGAAATTTTCATTATGTTGTACTATCTAAACTTAATAAAAAATTGTCAAAGTGACAATGTCTCTCTGCTGAATGGATTTTCTTGCACCATCTGGATGTTGTTGAGCTTAAGTTGCTTTCATTTGAATTGTGCTGATGATCTTTTTTTTTGTTTCATAGCATTGAACAGATGGGTTGATTATTCTTTACAGATATTAATAAAGCAGTGGAAAGAAGAAATATGAATAAGGCTTCATCAAGGTCCAGTCCGACACGAAGGTAAAGTACCCGGAAGCAGTGAGTTATACTAGGAATTCAGGCCTCCAGGGCATGAGCCCAGCGGCCTGTGCTAAATGTCTGTGTCTCTTCCCTACCGCCACCTCCCCACTCAAACAGCGATGCTCCGGTGAGACAGTCGGGACGTGGCTGCTCCACCTCTGGGAGCCCTTCTGGCTCTGACACCTCGAGGGGCACGAGGGAAACCTCGTGTCTACTGCTGTTACTGCAGCCAAGTGTTAGGTTTTGCAGCACAGGCTGTAAGAGCCTTGTGAGGAAGAGTACCCTTGATGTTTGCTCCTGCCTCCAGCATCGGAGAAGCCGAGGCATAGCTAAAGAATGCCAAGGGGTTGCAGCACAGCACCGGGAACACTGCAGAGGACTTTGGGGTCTTGCCTCTTCTGATGGTGAAAGCTGCCAGTGTGAGAATGAGACTGGAAAAGAGCACTTGAATGAGGCACAAGACAGAGCAAAATGTCTCTTGCATGGTCCTGCCTGCACCTGCGCTCGTGTTGTCTGTGCCTGAAGCCCCCACAGTGTGGTACTGACATGTACCCTCCAGCTTCTGGTTCACCGCTTCTCAATGGGCACAGTGTGACTTCCCTCTGTGTGGGAAGTCACAGGCAAGGGGAGAAGACGTGGATGGACCTGCCACAGGAAGATTACTTCAGTTTCCTTTCCTCAGCATTACTAGGGAGCACACAAAGACATGCTGTGGTGTAGTTTGGTATAAGGCATCTACCCCTGTGCCTGTACTGTAAAGTTTTCCACACAAAGGAGTGGTTCTTGTTGAACTTGAAGGTAATCAAGCTCCCACGTGTCTGGTGTTCTTCACTAACTTGACCAGTTAAATTACCAAAAATGGGAAAAAAGTGCAACTAGCAGGACGTTTACACCAAAAAAAAGCCCAGAGAATGAGTAGCTTCAATTCTTGGCACCATTTATGTTTTTTATGTGTTGCACTTACCCTGCACAGGGCCAGATGTGCCTGCAGAGACCAGTGGGTGGGTGTCAGGCCCAGGAAATGCTTTGGGCACACAGCTCTTGTTCTGTGGGTTCCCATGACGATGCAGCAAACCTTGGGCCAAGCAGAGTCAGGTGTGCTCCGTGCTGGTGTGAAGACCTTGGGAGTACGTGAGCAGCAGGCACTGATGGCATGTCTTTGGCCTCCGTGCCACTGACGGCGCCGTGCAGCACTGCAGGGGTGAGGGGCAGGCACCCATGCCAAGAGCACTGGTCCTTGGACTATGCTGCAGAGGGACAAGCAGCAGGCACTGATGCCATGGGCATCGGACCCTGTGACACCCTGCCTGTTTGAGGTGCCCATGTCATGGCCCTAAGGAGCACTGAAGGTGCGTGAGCCATGCTGCTGTGGGCACCAGGCTGTGAACTGAACTGCCACGGCTGCCAAGGGCTTTGGTGCCACTGTGACAGGCACTGGATTCCAGCTGGCACTGCAGACACCGTGGTCATCCCGTGTGGTTAGCACCAGGTCCCACACAGCACCATGGGCATGGGAGGTGATGAGCTCTCAGTCATCAAGTCCTGGGCGTGGCTGCGGGCGATGGACTCTGACCCACGCCATGGCCTGGGATCACAGCTGCCGAAGCCGGGGTGCAGAACCCTGCGCTGCCGGGCCGGCGGTGCCGTGTCCTGAGCAGGTGCCAACACTGCGGGAGTCGGACCATGGAGACTGAGGTGTGGAAGCGGAAGGAGCTGTGCCTTTGTGCTGCCACCTCCCTGGAGCTGGGCAGTCACGTGGGCACGAGAGCCGAGGGGACCTGTGCCACGTCTCTACTTCTGTCGCAGTTGTGTGTTGTTCATTCCGGATCTTTTTGTCTCTGCAGATAATGAATGTGGCCTGTTCTGGTCACCCCCACTCCAGCAGAATAAATGTCATATGCCAAACAATTCCCCTGCATCTGGCTGTTTTGCTAAATGGTCTCACAGCTACGGAAAGATCAGCCACTCGACCTCCATTAGAGCAAGTCAGAAGTTTCCCCTGAGCTTCTGCCATTGTTCACTGTAGGTTTGGGGGGAAGGGGGCCATGACTCTTACGAGATGTGGTTTCAATGCAGATCACAAACAATAAGCACATTGCCTGTCCAAGAGGCTGAGGGAGTTTGCACTTGTTTGTCTGCAAATAGCGTCTCTTATAGGAGGAGGCTGTTTATGCTCTTGGTGGCAACTCTAGTTTGTCCCAAAATATGGCTTGTATCTGACACACAAACAGAGAATGCCAGCACTCCTGTGTATCTCCAAGCACAGCTGAGTGTCCAACACCAAAATCCACGCACAGACTCTGCTCCTCCATCTTGTCTGCTCTGCCTGACCCTGAACTTGGGCACATCCGACTCGCTATTCTCTCCAGGTGACCACTACATGACTGCACTGCAGTGGGTGCAGACTTACGTTCTGCTTGTCTTTCATGAACTAGATTAGGCTGGTTGAGAACTGTAAAAGTCTTGTCAAGTTTGGGAAATAAAAAGATTCAAAAAGCTGGGGTTTTTCCTGATGGTTGTCAGTATTTTGGGGGAAGAATATTCCAAACACATCAAGCACAGTAGTTTCTCTGCAAGTTTTTTTTATGTTTGGCTTTGACTACAGTGAAGTTATGTTTTTTTCTGGAAAACAGAGTACAACTTGGAAAAAACACTACTGTTTTGGGGAAAGATGAAGACTGGAACATTATTCTTCCTTGCCTGTGAAGACAAAGTCTGAATGAGCTGGATCATTCAGATCCAACAGAGAAGCCTGTTACGGCTGCTGAAGATGCAGTGCTGGTTGGGTTTAGTACCCTCTTAACATGTGGCATCATAAACATAAGACTGGTTCTCTACGGAAATATCCCTCAAATCCAGGACACGGCAATAGCTGTTCTTGCTTTCTGTCAGCAACACAAATGCAGCCACAACGTGGACCCTGCAGTGTCTTTGGTCACAAGCTGCTCCTTTTTTAATCACACGCCAGTAACATTGTGTCAGGTGTTCTGCTGTCACTGACCAGTGAATTTAATGGATCCCTTGAACGCTCCTGGCTATCACATATTTGTAGGTAGTGGCCTACATCACCTTAAATTCTCTCAGAGAATTTGCAAAACATGTTTGATGGATGATCTGTGGCTGACGTTGGAGGACAGAAGCCTTGAAATGGTCATTTCTGAAGTGCCTGTTCACTTCTTCCACAGGTGCTCTACACTTTTAGTGATGCTCCATTAAAGAGCTCTCTGGGTCTTGTTTGAATGAACGGTAGAATTAAGAACCTTCTCCAGACTTCTTCAAAAATATGATTTTTTGGGCAATTTTTGCTGTTGTGGGATAGGAGGGAGGATTCAGCTGCTGAGAGAAGGGTCGCTTTGGCACCTCAGGTAAGAGATCTAGGGGTAACCGTACCGGTGTCGTTTGCAGGCTAACGGAATTTCCCTGGTGTTTTCCTCAGAGAGCCATATGCCTACGGGGATGGCCGAGATGGCAGACGCGACCGCTCCCCTCTTCGGGGGAGCCCACGGAGGGACCCCAGAGATGGCAGGGATGGCAGGAACGGGCGAGATGCCAGAGACGCTCGAGACATTCGAGCCAGAGACATGCGTGACGCCAGAGACCACAGGGACCCACGGGACCTGCGAGACCCACGGGATATCAGGGATCCAAGGGACCTGCGGGACCCGCGTGATGTTAGAGATCTTCGTGACCCACGGGAGCCGCTGTATGACCGATACAGGGATCCGCGGGATATGAGAAATGCACGAGATGTGAGGGATCCACGGGATATGAGAGACCCTCGAGACCCCATGTACAGGTAAACTCGACCGGATCGTGTTTGCCGGTTCATTTTTATGGCGTTTCTGCCACGCTGGCTGTGCTGGTTTAGGTGGTATCAGGTGTTTAAGGAAATCACCCTGGCTGGGGAGAGTCATGCTGTGGGGAATGGGTGGGTACCTCAGATATTAAACTTGGGGAGGGTCTGTGTGGGATGCACTGGCTGAAGTCACTGCCTGAGACTGTGCTGGAGCACAGAACCCTTTGCTGTTTCTGTGAACGTTGCAGACGAGACGAATCTTACGACCGTTACCTGCGCCTTGAGGACTATTACCGGCGCAAGGACGACTCTTACTACGACCGCTACAAGGACCATTTCGATAGAGCTCCAGTGAGTTCAGAGGGTGAGTACCTGGAACACTTTAATGGGAGGGTGCAGGGGTGCTGCAGTGCCGACCCCGTGGTGTTCTTTGCCCCTCTGAGCAGGTCTAAAGGGCATCACTTGTTCTGTCCCTGCGGCTCGTTTCAGACCGCCTGAAGCGCGAGGAGCGGCGCCGGGAGGAGCTGTACCGTCAGTACTATGAGGAAATCAAGAGGCGTTTCGATGCAGAGAGACCTGTGGATTGTTCTGTGATAGTGGTGAATAAACAGACAAAGTAAGAAAATAGTTACAAACGGTTTTATTATTGCATGGTAGAGGAGAATGGATGTAAACTTAGTCCTGCCTTGAGGCTGTTTGTCTTATGGGTTGCTCTTGAGAAATGTGGTTTTAGAGTCCTCAGAAAGCTATAGCTCCTTGTTGCTCTTCTGGGAATATATGTTGATGAGATGTGGAAATGTATCTTGTGATTGCATTTATTTCCCCATTGTTACCTTCTCATACTTTTCTACCTACTCTTCATATCAGCCTGTCATGACAGGCTGAGTTCTGTAGGTTGGCTGCTCTGCTCTGTACCCCTTGGACGTCTGCAGGCATAAATTTCCTCCCTTAATGAGTTCAGTTTAAACACATGTTTGTGTGAACAAATTTATAATAGCGTAAATCCCTTTGCAAACACTCTCTCTCAGCTAAGCCAAGGCTTGATCTGTAATTTATTTCAGTTAAACTGAAATGACTGATTCAGATCAGAATAAGGGCTTTTCTATTACTGTAATGGGATTGCTTTAGTACTGTCCTGATAAACATAATGAAGTTGGGCAAGTCATCAGAAAAGCGAATCTGAGATGGTGGAGAGGGTGAATGTGCCAAGGTTTCTGTTTCTGTGTGTGACTGACGTGTTAAACTGCTGGCTTTGCTTTGTGACAGGGAGTACGCCGAGTCAGTGGGGCGGAAGGTGCGGGATCTGGGCATGGTAGTGGACCTGATCTTCCTCAACACAGAGATGTCACTGACACAAGCCCTGGATGATGTGAGCAGAGGAGGGTCTCCTTTTGCCATTGTCATCACCCAGCAGCATCAAGTTCACCGCTCTTGCACTGTTAACATCATGTTTGGCACCCCACAAGGTACTGAGGTCTCAGTAGGCTGGGAACTGCGTGGTCACTCTGAACCTTTCTTTCAGGCAGAACCACACAGGACAAAGGTCATCCTTGCTGTCACATAAGTAGTTATTAATGAGTTGACACAGTGTCATAAACATGAATATCATTATTTACAAGCTCCCATAACACTCTATTTGCCCTTTGTCAAAAGGACTGTCTAATTCCTGCCAAGAGGGAATCTCAGATGTGTTCTTGGCTTCTAACACTGCCAGCTTTCCTGTCTCAGGAAAAGTCATGGACCCCAGTGCTAGAAATGGCTGCACTGCCCTGGGAGATCTCTGAGTAATACCAGCCCAACCTTAGTCTATCGCTTGTTGCTTTCAAAGAGAGCCTGTTTGGAATGTGACAAATTACAGGACACATTTCAAATGTGTTTTAATAAAGATTTGGTCAAGGTAGAGATCTGATGATGAAACTGGGAGGAGTTATAAAAAGATAGAACTACAAAGTGTTTGGGTATATGTGCTCTACTTTTTAGAGCCATTACACTTGTCACATCACTTTCCATTTCAGGGGGTGACTTGGTTGTTGCATGAGGGTGGGTGTAGGTATTAAAAATGCCTTGTGAGAATGTGATCTGGGAAAGCAGCCTTTGCTCTGATCATAGGCCTGTTCATATACTCTGTCTACACAGGTGACTGGTTTGACCGAAGTTGAGCTTTCAAAGGTTATTTCTCCCTTACTGTGTTCCCAAATAATGTTCTGTGAGTTCATCTGGGAGAGGAAATGTCTGAGTGCACAGTCAGTGATTGGTGTGTGCTCACTGACTGGAGAAGCCCAGTTTCTTTTAACATCAGATGCAGATGTGATAGGAGAGTTCTCTCATTTCCTGAAGGAACACAGCTCATGCACACTGTCACTGGGCTTTCCACTGCCCTTGGTTTTAACTCTTAACTCCTTTGGTTTAACACCTGTTAAACCTCTGGCGGGAGGCCAAAGCTTCTTTTCTGCACTGGATCTGCCGGTGTATCAGACCTGGTGGGAACCCCAGTCATTAGCTCATCCACAGCTCATTGCAGAGATTAAATATGCTCACTTCAACTGCTCGTGGCCACCTTTCCCTGCATGGTTGTTTCAGGGAACTTGATTGCTGCTCGTTTCCCCAGAGTGGTGAACATGAGCAGCCATGTGACACTAAGCCAGTGCTGCTTCCTCCCCAGCTGCACCAGCACATGCGATGTTAAGGTGTTGGCAGTACAGAAACAAAAGTGTTCCCATGGCTGTCCTCCTCTGGGAAGCCTGCAGCCTTCAAAGGGCAAGCTTTGGATCTGTCCAAGGGTTTCGCAGTAAAATGACTGGGACTGTCTCCTCTTGGAGTGCTGAGGATTTATGTGAGAGGTAGAGGGAGCTGCTTTCCCTTTTAACTGGTGAGAGGCAGGAAAGACATTTCTGGGATGACAGGATGTCTGCTTAGAGCTTTGGGCCTTGGAAGGAAAGGCTGGCCTTGCTGGGTGATAGCTGTGGGCCTTTTGTTGGCCTTGGAAATGTAACTGTTTCCGTGTGCCTGGGAAGCTCCCAAGTCTGCACTGGCACTCCCTGGGCAGTGCCTGCTGCTGACTGTGCTGTGCTGGTGGTCAGGGGGGAACGGAACCTCCCTCAGTGTCACTTCAGGTCACTGTCACTCAGGAACGGCACCTCCCTCAGTGTCACTTCAGGTCACTCAGAGTGTTTCTTTCCTTGTGCAGAGCACCGCAACATGCCCCAAGCTGATGCCATGGTGCTGGTGGCAAGGAATTACGAGCGCTACAAAACAGAGTCCCGGGAGAAGGAGCGGGAGGAGATCGCCCGGCAGGCTGCCAAGATGGCAGATGAAGCTGTTCTGCAGGAGCGGGAGCGCCCACCCCCCATGGAGGAGGGTGTCAGAGGAGGTCACCCTCCTGGGATCCAGGCTCTCTTGAACCTGCTGGCAGACAATCGCTACCTGACTGCTGAGGAGATAGATAAAGTCATTAATTACCTGAGGGACCGGAAGGAACGGTTACTGCGGGGCAGCTCTGAATCTCTGCAGGGTGAGTCTCTTGGCCCCAGGCAAGGTTTATCATGTGGTTTGTGGCCCACGGGGCTGGGACAGGAGAGGAGTCCTGGGACTGCAGAGGAGTCTGGGAGCATGATTTTACTGAGATGGACATGTCCTTGGGAGTCCTGAGACAATTTAGAGTTTTCATGTGGAAGACCTTTTATAGTGGATTCTCTCAGGGCACCCACGGGACTGCCATAACTGAATGGGTTGCTACACTCAGTTCTGCAGTGTGGTTTGGGTTCCCAGAGCTGTGCAGCTCCAGTCAGAGGGTGGGTGTTCACTGATGCTGTGTCTTTGGTACCAGTTTCACTAGTTTTCTTTAGATGCCCCTTCAAGGGCGTTTGCAGAGGTTTAACCACCTTTCCTTCCTTTCCCAGCACCCATGTCAAGACAGTCTTTGGGGGCACCTTCAGGATCATCCCTGGGTAGTCAGTCCAGCCTTCCAAGCTCTCAGACTCATCAGGGTTCACAGCCTCTGGTCTCTACTCCTTCTGTTCCAGTATCCTCTTCTAATCCTCAGCAGGAGCTTCAAGCAAAAATCCTCAGTCTCTTCAACAGCGGGGCGGCAGCAGCAGCAGCCGCCGTGGCAAACAGCAGTCCTGCGGCCCCCGCGGGCTCTTCGGGCAGCACTCCCAACCAGAACTTTGCTAACCTGGCCGGTGGGCAGCCCCGGCCAGCACAGATGAGTGCTGGAAATCTAAACCAGGCTCAGCAGAGATTGCAGACTCCAAGCACGCAGCTTCCTGCTCTGCCAGGCCCTTCGAGAAACGCGGGTCCGAGACCTGGGGCTCCTCCACAACCTCAGCCGCTCTATGGTCAGCACCAAACCCGCCTCCCTGCGCCTGGCAGTGTGCCCGCTCAAAGGCCAGTGTCTTCTGGTATCAACTTTGACAACCCCAGTGTACAGAAAGCCTTGGACACCCTTATCCAGAGTGGTCCTGCCCTCTCCCACCTTGTGAGCCAAACCGTGGCCCAGGGGCGAGCAGGGTCCTCAGCCCAGCAGCCGATGGGTTCCTACCAGCGACACTATTAGAGCTGAGCTGTGAGGCCCGTTCCCCTTCCCTTTGCCATTCCATACTTATAGCTGTTTAAGGAGTCTCCCATCCTTGACCCGGGACAGATGCCCTGGACGTGCATGTCCTCTCTGGTGAGAGCGTACCCCCCACAGCATTGCTGCCGATGGTTGCTGGTGCTGCCTTCCTTCTTGATCTGGTTAGCAGTGTTTGGAGCAGAATGCTTCGTTTTCTCTGCAGCACAGTGTTGGATCATTGGTTGTATTGTCCCATCGCAGAAACTGCCACAGTATCAGTCCTGCTGCATTTTCCTCATTCCCAGCACCTGGTGCACCTTCCCAGTGAGCTGCAGTCTGGGCTCACTGAATGGTCTCAGTATAGTTTTGGGTCAGTGGTTTTGAGGAATTAAGGGACTGAACACAGCGTCGTGCTGATGGGCCTTGGACACCCACCACTGTGGGCACTATTTTTCTTTGGAATTTTTTATTTTTTTCTTCTTTTTTTAATGGTGTATAAACCAGTTGGGAAGTACAGTGATAGCACTAGCAGCCAAAATCGTGAAGCACATGCCTGACCACTGCTCAGTAACCAGAACTGTGCCCTGCAGTCCCTCCACGCTGGCCTACCCTGTCCCGGTAGGGAGGCACATGCTCCTCACCTCGCCCTGTGTTGAGCACAGATCTGCAGCACAAGAGCTTCCAACCAAGGCAGAGGTTTCAAATGGTCTGTCAGTTTTCCTACACCAAGTAATCAGTGTCAAGATCAGTCTGTTAAATTTGGTGTATAAATTTCCTTTTCTTACAGCCTTTGGGACGGTTGTTAGTGTAGATCAGCTGCAGCCATGCTGATGTGCTGCTGGCCCTCCCCTGGGAATACCTAACACTAAGTATGGGGGGAATCCTGCTCTCTGAAACCTCACCTTGTTGTTATGGGGCGTTCTGTCCATCTGAGGAGGAGAGGCAGTGCCAAGATGCAATACCATAATTTTATACGTTTTTCAGTGCTTTGGCAGTGGACAGTGGAGTGGAAGATCAGGCAGTGATTCTTCACCGTGTTTTTAACCGGTAACATACTTTGATACCAGAACACAAAACATCTCTTAACTGTGTGGTCCTCCCCGTCATGGCCTTCTTGGAGTCTGTGGGCTTCCTACAGGGAACCGAGAGACACTGAGGAAGCAGAGGATTTACTTTGTCCCAGGTGGTTTTATGTTGTAGCATTTCTTTTCTCTCTGTGCTGTTAACAAGAGGACATTACTTTCTAATAAAAGGCCGTAAAAATTATTTGTTGCATTTTTTGACACCTCAGTACTCCTGGAATACGTTATTCTGCTCTCCTGGATGAGCTGTGCCAGATGCTGCTCCGTGCTGGATGCTGAGCGGAACGCGTGCAGACCTTGCTGCGAGAGTGTCCGTGCTGTCTCAGTTTATAACACTTTGGTTCAAGGGACCTCACAGGTACTTGCTGTCACAGAGGACGGGGGTGATCCTGGGTAGTGTGTGGGGTCAGGGAGCAGCACGTGGCAGGGCTGGCAGGAGAGGTCAGGAGCCTCTCCAGTGGCCGGTGGTGGGAGAGGTGGGTAGGGCTGGTCCGTGTCGCTGCCGCAGCTGCTGCACAAGGTCGGGGTCTGTGAGTCCCTGTGCCTTCAGCACTGGCGTCCCATGACTTCAGGCTGCTGTCACCAGACAGCCTGAATCTGGACAGCAGTGTGTCTGTCTGCCATCCCTCCTCCTGTCTCTGTTAGACCCATTCTCTGCCTCTACAACCCCGCAGCCAGGTAAAGCACCTCTGCTGGGGTGATCAGAAATCTGCATGAGGTGAAACGCAGGAACTGCGGCCCCTTGGGAGGGGCTGTTCCTCTCCTTGTGGTGTGCTTCCTCTGCAATCTGCTACTCCCTGTCAGGGTTTGCTCCGTGTTATGGCAATGGTGCAAAATAGCTGTGGAGACCTGGAAGCAAGTGAAAAGTCCCCGTGCAAGTAGTGAAGGGTGTAATAAAATCATTTATTGCATTTTGTGCAGACAGGAGTCTAGAAAAATGAATACAGGTAAAGCAGTAAAGCAGTAACAGGGAGCATTCAACAGCCGAGGAGCCACTCCTCCATGGACACCTGCACAGAGAACACGGGGTCTGCACCGAGGCGGCCTAATGCACAACACTGAAACACGCACAGAAATTAAATGCAAGCCTAATACTTCTTTTTTTGGTTTGCAACCTGTTTTATTTACAAGGTTTTAAACTTAATTGCATTGCTCTGCACACAGATTCTCTAAAACACAAAGCATTCTAGGTCACTACATGTCTATTGAAATATTGCACTCGAATAAAAGTCACTTGAATGGACGGAGAACATCTAGCTACAGTGATTAAAAGAGTATTGAATGAACCGACTTCGTGATAACATTCATAACAAATATATTGCACATGTAGCACAGAAAGTGTTGTAACCAGCAAATCTCAGACCTTTCGGTCTTTCTGCTAGTTTTTAGTCCTGCTACACAGAGGAGGGTCTTGACTCTTCTAGTGCAACTCTTGCCTTTGTGCGGTCTCTTGTCCTTCCTCTCGTCCAGCCACGGACCAGCACCCGCCCAGGCTGGATGCTGCCTGTGCTTCCCATCCCTGCTGCCCTGTGGCTCGCTGCCAGTGCTGCGTGGTGGCCACAGCGACCTGAGCTGCCACTGCCACTCGTGGGGGCCAGGGCTGTTGGCACCCCCGCAGCAGGGACCGGAGCACACGCCACCAGCGCTGTGCACTGGCCCAACGCTCCCCGCCTGCTGCGGCCACGCTCCAGCCCACCCTCCCGCGGGTCGTGCTGATCAGTGCTGCTCCCAGCAGCAGCCTGCCTGTGAAACAAACTGGGGGGTCAAGACCTTCCTGTCTGGAACAAAAACCGGACCGTGTCTGCGCATGTGCCAAGGAGGAACTTGCATGTCTACCAGAGGAGGACACTGTCTTCACCACGGTGGAGCGGCAGAAGGGTGCTCCATGGGGAAACTGAACACTCACAGAGGCCAAACGTGCAGGGCTGGGTTTGTAAACTAACATGCAGTGCTGTCTGCTAAAACTGGCCCTCTCCAGCCGACGGCGAGGGGACGCGCTGTGGAAACCAGCTCCTGTCTTGCCACAGCCAAACTGCCTGGCAGGGGTGTGGGGGCAACCCTGGCTCTGTCCAGAGCTGTGCCCCTGCTCTTGCTGGAGGATGGGGAAGGGGGAACACCTTTTTTCAGCAGTAGTGATGGAAAGGGCTGGCCTTCCTTCTCCCTGGCGGAGCCAGGACCATGGCTCTGCTGTCAGAGTGGAAGTGGCACTGAGGGGAATGGGATCCACTGACGATGCTGGGGGGATGGAGCAAACCTCTCAGCAGAGAAGCGTGCCCTGGCTGCTCTCACGTCACTCCCAGCTGCCCTGTACCTGTAGCCGATGGAAGAGCCCCTCACGTGCTGCTGGGAGGGTGGGTGCTGTCTGCGTGTAACCTGCCTCTGCCCTCGGCACTGACCTGCTGGGGCAGGAGGGGACCGGGCTCGCTGCCTCAGGCCCAGCAGGGCAGCAGCCAAGCTGCAATTAGAGGGCGACTGCAGGGAGCGTGGTGGCATCTTGTGAAGAGGCAGAGCAGCTGGCAAGCATTCGAGGCCCAACACCACGCGAACACATGAGCTGTGTGGGCAGCTGTGCCTCCCCCGCTGCTGTGCCTCCCCCGCTGCTGCTGAGCTGCCTCAAATAATTTTGGGAGGCTGCAAACAGCACGTGAGCCTGTGTGTGGTGGTGTAGGGCCAGCTCCAAGGGGTAGAGCAGCTAGACACTGGCAAAGTCCTGGTTCCCATGGGCTGCCCTTCCTGAAACTAAAGGAACTTTTCACTTGCAGACTCCTGACTGCTCTTCCCACAGCTGAGGCGGCGGCAGGACCGGAGAGTGCTGCCCTGTGCATCTGCACCGTTTGTCAGCCCCGAGCTCCTGTGCTGAAACCAGATCTTAGCTCAACCTGACAGTCCCACTGTAAACACTGAGCTCCCCATGCCCATGGGAGTGGCTTCCACAGCAGCATCTGTGACACAGACCTGCAGCCATGCAGGCAGCCGAGCTACCCTGGCAGAAAGTCTGGCTGTGGCTGGGACTGCTGCTGGAGACAAGGGAGGCACTTTGGGAGTGATGGAAATGTAGGAGCAAGGTATGAGCAGGCACAGATGTGCAGCTGGGGCTTGGTTTTGGTCTAGGAGTGTGTCCAAGTAGTATCTTAGAGAGAAAAAAAAAAAAAACAACATCAAAAAACCCACTGCTTTTTATCCAAGCATCCCCAAATAGCTTTGGCCTGGACCTGGAGGAGTAGAGGAGCTCTGCAGAGGGAGCGGGGGCTGGAGTGTCCGGTGCAGAGAGTGTTTCCTGCTCTCAGGGAGACAGGAGCCAAGGTTGGCAGGGGGGACGGGTGGGCAGGGGGCTGGGACCAGTCAGGGCTGCCCGTGCCAGGCAGGAGGCAGCTGCTGCCTGGACAGACACCCGCGGGGATGCTGCTGCAGCACCCGCTCCCTCCGCACCTGCTGCAGTGCAGGGCAGCACTGGGGAGCTGGCTGGGGGGGCTGAGGGGGCAAGTGCTTCAGCGTGGGGGCTCGGCTCTGCCCGAGGACGAAGCGCTGCCTCAGGGGCCAGGCTGGCACAAAGCTGCCAGCGCTGCCGGGAGAGGGCAACTCTTAGCAGGCTGCACTTTGAGTGGAAGCTCAAATCTGCTGTGAAACAAGTTCAGAAAAGTCTGTGACTTCTTTTCCCTGAAAACTCTTAAGAAGCTAAATTGAGAAGAGAATGAACCTGCGACCTGGCCCTTTCCCAGGAGCTGCTGGTGGCTGGGGAAGGCTGCAGCCTCCACCACTGCTCTGGAGCACTCGGTGCAACGGATGGGCTCCTGGTTTGTGCAGGAGCAGCCCGGCTCAGCTCCCTGTCCCTGCGGCCTGGTGCTAGCAGAGCCCTGCATCTCTCAGAATAGATATAGATCTCTATATATAGACTTCATCTGGTTCTATTAACATAAATATGATCACTTTAAAAATACACGTACTGTATTATGTACACTATGTACATGGGGCTGGGGCGGGCGCCGGCGGCACCCTGCTGCCCTCGCACCGCTTCCTGCGTGGTTCCTGGAACCATTCACATTTGCTAAAAGCGCCTCAGTTTCTCTGCTGTGAGAGATGCTGGGAGGGAACGGCGACGGGGGCGACCCTGCAGCTGCTGCCAAAGATAAGAGGTGTTTGATCTTCCCCAGTGGGCCCTCCTGCCCGCGTACAGGGGCTGACGGCTGCGGCGTGGCCGGTGCCAGGGCTGCCCTGGCCGGCAGGGTGAGGGGGTGCCAAGATGCTGGGGGGCGGTGGGACCCCTACAGCCCCCACCTCGCTGCGGTGTCTGGTTGGCCAGACCAGCAAACAGCCTTTGCATATGTTAAAAATACACACAGATCCGGACAGTCCTACAGCCCCCGGCAGCATCTGCGTCTGCCAGGGGCCGTGGCCGGGTTAGCAGCGAAGCCCTGGGGAGCAGCAGGGAGCGCAGCGGGGCACGGGGGGACCCGGACACGCATGCAGGTGCTGGGGCCAACCAGGCTGGCTGTGCTGGGCCCTGAGAGCCCCCAGTGCAGGGAGGCAGCGGAGCAGGGTGGGGATGCTCCTGTGCCAGGCCAAGACCAGGCGCTGGTGCCTCGAGGGTCCACAGCACCCACGTGGCTCCAGCCGCTGGAGAGTGGCCCCGGCTCACGCTGCACATGGCAGGGCCTCTGCACAGCTCCCAACACCGCAGCTCCACACCCCGACTGCTGCGCAAGCACCTGGAGAGCATCAGGGCGGAGAGAGCCTGGAGTCAGCAGCGGGGGTACAGGGCACACCCCACAGCCACCCCAGGCTGGGGCCCTGCTGTGGCAGCATTGCTGTGCTCCAGCACCTGACTCCTCGCAGCCAACCCCCCCACCCTCTGCCCCCTCCAAACCATCATCTTGCATCTCCACAAGCTCAGCCCACGGCCTCCGGAGACGGCTGTGCCGAGGCAGCGGCGAGGTGGGGCTGTCCGGGCCCATGACGGTGAGGGGCAGCGGGGGGACAGTGCTGTGGGAGGCAGCCCCAGGAGCTGCTGGACGTGGGAAGAGGAGCGTCCGGCAAGGAGAGCGTGGTGGTGGCCTCTGTCTTCTCCCAGCACCTCGCAGGGAGGCACAGCACAGGCAGCGGGCACAGGGCACACTCCAGCTGAGCTCCGTGCAGGGGTAGCAGCACGGTGGGGCCGAGGTCCGTCTCGGCACAGCCGCCCTCCTG